ACAGCTGGGGGCACATTTTCAGCCTTGGAGGAGGAATGCTGTTCTCAGGTGTGCTTGTTTCTTTTTCAAATAAATCCTCATGCTTTGGTCTTTTTAGATTTTAACCTTAAGATAACACGCAAATGAATGCAACAGATATGATTAATGGTTTCCACTTTTAGAACACTTCTACCTCCGTGGTGCTTAAAGTAGTTTACATTTCTCAGTTATTCTCACACACAGAGCAGACCTGGGAGTCAGTTTGGGGTTTTGCACAAGGACGTTTTGACATGTGGAAGAGGCGGGGACAAAACCACCATTAAACTGAGGTTAGTCGCAAGCACGTTGTACCACCTGAGCCTTAAAAAAACAAAAACAAAAAACTCCTCCTCTCTGAAGTATATAAATTAATGAAGCTTAAAACTCATCTTCGCTTTTCTTTTTCCACTAAAAGCTTCACCACGGGGCTCACACTTCTGTAAAATATGGCTTAAAACAATAAAAACTAACTTTAAGAAAACAGAAATAATGTAACCAAGACTCTGAAAACATTCGTTCTTCGTTTCCTAACAGTATAATGTTTGTCAAGTCAGATTTTAGTTGACTGGAGGGAAATTTTTTTACTGTGCTTCTTTTTATATCCCAGGCAGATGCTGCCAAGCCTGTAAGGCAGAGAGGACCTGAGAAAAGAATTAAACAGCACCTCCTTGCTTGATGAATTCCTGCAGTGTTAATGTGCAAAGGAAATTCTGTGTTAAAGGCAGGCGTTGAGCATCATCATGTGACAGCTTCAGGGCAGTCTGAAGAGGCTTCTTTGAGTCTCCAGAAAAAGAAATTCTCCACAGCAGTGTTTAAGCATGTGATTGCACGCCATGCAATTAGCACTTCCTGTCTGATAAAGAAAACCCCTTGAGAGCAGAGCCCTGAGGAGAGGTGATGAACTGGGTCAAAAGGCACGAGGAGACGCCAACAAGTCATCGAGCGATGAGGAAGTGAAGTGGGTACTCCCCACAAGATGTTCAGAAATGTCACAAGAATGGAGGATGGAAATAAGTCAGCACTTAGCTGACACTGTACTGCATTTAAAAGATGAGAAACACAGAGAGACCTTTACTTTAAACTGAGTAAAGAGTTGCATTTAAACTGTAAGGTTTGATTTTACCACCACAACAGAACATCTGACCTAAAATAAAGAGCCAAATCGTAAATTTTGAACACACTTATGTAAAAATCCTCCCACAGTGCAGTTGTCTCTACACTTGCGTCCACATTAAAATGTCAAAACAGTTAATTCTCCTCCTACTGAACAACAATAAGCCGAGCAGCCACAGAAACCCACCGAACAACTAACATTTCCATTTAAGTAAAAACCGTTTAGCCTTTTCTAATGTACAGTTTATTAGAGCAGACTGCCATAAAACAATGTCTCGGGCTATAGTTTTCATTCAGAAATTACACATAGACTTCACCTAGGCAGGCTCAGACCAGCACCGTATGTGATTAACTTATGAGCTTGAAGGCCTCTCTGACCACAACCTACAGCAGGTGGAGAGGCTGGTTCAGAGCGCTGCTACGCCGAGCTAACCAAAGCTGCAGAGCAGAACAGGGACTCCTGTCTCCACCTGCAGCCCAAGACTGTGCAGTTGGGGCTCAGACTGAAATATTTGCAGAGGAAAACTTGTGTTTCTTACAACACATACACAAAAAACACCAACAACTATCTGCTATAAGGACAATCCAAATCTGTGGAAACTCCTCCTAGTTTACTAGCAAACAATGAAAAGCTGCACCACTGCCAAATGTTATCTCTGTAATATCACAGCCAACACAACTTCACATTTCATACATTTGCTGTACAAAAAAAAAAAAAAAGCAAATTGAACTTTGGGAATCAACTAAAGTGGGCTGAATACATCAAACAAACCCACAGAGTCAAGATGATCAGAAAACCTAAAAGAAAATATAAAAAATATGCCCACAAAGCTGGGCAGTAATGATAAAACCAACATCAGCATTTGTACTGGATAAATGCTGAAAAATGAAGAGCTGATAAAACACACAGACACAAATCAATTAAAAACATCAATATCAGCATCAGCTGTGAGCCAGCTTCTTTAAAAGCACCTGTATCGGCTCAGATTTCCACAATCAGTTCATCTTTCACACAAAGAACCACAAATCAACTTTAACAAGGCAAGAAAAAAAAGTTCAAACACAGAAAATGGCTTGAGGGAGACATCACCCAGACAAACAGAATAAATGTGCAGGCTACCCTCACACTGCTGCTCCGGTCTGGTTTTCACTCCTTTGTTTTTAAAAACATTCCTGAGCTGACACAATAATAGAGCATTACAGGCAAAACCAGCGTTCACGGTTTCATTTGTAAGCTGATTCAGATTAAAGAGGATAAACAGAGTCAACTTAAACTTACGAGCTTCTCCCATATAGAGCTGCGTGTGGATGAGGAGCTGGAGCCGGGAGCGGTTTCACTCTGACACAAATGGCTTTACTGAAACCAAAATTTCATGAAGTGAAAGGTCACTTTTACCTACACATGTCAGCATCTCCGCCACAAGACTCGTGGCAAAACACTCAGGTGAGCGATGGAAAGGTCACGTGTTCTGTATACAACTAATATAAGAAGCACATATGAAAGCGACCCTAATCAGAAGTGAAAAATATCAGATTCGGTGTGGTTTGTGGTGTTCAAATAGTCATGATAGAACAGATCTGAGTCATACGTGTGCAAAAAACATCAGGTTCAGGTCACTTTCTGCTTCAAGGACAACTTCAAGAAGCCAAAACACAACTATGAAGACAAGAATTTCATTCTTTGCACATTTTTACTCCTTAAAATAAAAAATAAAAACAATTCTGGCCGTTCAAGATCTTCTAAACACACCCCTGAAACAACGATCAGCTGCGCTCATCAAATTTCTGCTAATCATCCTCTGAAACTCTGAAATTCAAATTCCACAAACACTGCAGCAGCTGCAGCACCGCCGTCTGGACCAACACCATTTAAACAGACTCGAGCATCGTTCGACCGCCATTTCTATCGTCCTCTGTCGGGCAAAGTAATGAACTGTTGTAAAGCTCAATTATTTATGTGGTTTGTCCAAAGAGGCTTCACGAGGAGCAAAAAGACAAAACACACACACACAGAGGAAGTGTTTATAAGATAAACAGAGGGACTCTGGCTGGCTGCTCGTGGACAAATCTGTGAGGATTGACTGCTGGGGAATGGCAGTGATGCACATTTTCACACCCAGCATGTAACGCTGCACATTTGTCGATCTGTGAACTGCAAACGTCTGTTGACACACAAATCTGTCAATTCTCGACATAACAAGGAATCCTTCAAGCCAATTGGTGCTCCGCGGGAGGATGCTTTGACTTAAGCATGCCTCCATCAGGCCTTTAATCTTCAACTTTGTTAAATGTATGTATTCAAGTAAATATCTGCACATTCACAAGCGCCAAAAACCGCCTGTAACACACCGTTGTGTGAGGTGGCAGGCCCTGGAGGACATGAGTGCCACTGAGGGAGATTAAAAGCAAAACACTGCTTGCTTTATGTTAATACTGCGCTTTGAAAGGCAAACAAAAGCCACAATTCTCTGTTTACATTAATGAACTCGGGACACAAAGATGTGAAAGCAAAAATGCATCACATCACAACTTAAAATAAAAAAAATGAAAATGGGGATACAAGTTTTACACGAAGCGTTTGGTGGCAGGGAGCACCAGGATGTCTCAGGTGAACCGATAACCGACCGGCGATAAAATAAGCCTCTCTGTTTGTCTCGCTGCAGTGACCAGAGGGAGGGCACTCCAATAAAGCAGCCACTACTGAAAAGTCGTGTATCATCTACCTTAAACTCGATCCGTAATATGAAGGGTAACCGGGATAGTCAGAAACACAATCATCATGTCACTGGAACATAAAGATAACCATACAATATTTTAAAATTCTATTATATTTATTGTTAGATTAGTCCATTTTCTTTTTTACTTTTAATGTGATTTACAAAAATGCACAAAATTAAAATTAAAGATGAATTTTACTGACGGCATTATTTATTATTTAATATTTGCTTTCGGTTTCACACGGGACACAATGCCCAGTCTCACGCGGGAGGAAGTTCTGCTTTTGAGCCTTTTATCCACCAAAGCCTCGTCTTCAGAAGAGCTCTAAAGGGTTTAACGTCCCCTCGCGTCCAATGCCAAGTTGCAATGTTGAGATCAAAGCAACGCAATTGTTCAGCTGCACTGATGGTTGCAGAGCAACAATACTAAGAAAATCAGGAGATCGGTGTAAAGGCAAACTGCTGACCTGTGCACGCTGTGAGTGCAGGTATATGTACCACTTGTGCACTGGTAAATTACACAGGTTATTTTGTTTGTCTAGAAACACAGAGCACAAAACCAGCATCAGGGTTACTTTTCCGGTACACGAGCTGTCAGCAGGCCAACTTTGCAGAAAATCTCAAATTTTAGGCTGCAAATGAGCACAAAGACTGTAAATTATACTCTCACAAGGCGACCGCATTAGCCCGAAAAACAGCAACAAAGCGCACTGACGTCTGTACGCAGCATGAAGACGATAACAGCAAATGGAGGAACCAAAACTACTTCACCATCTCATGAAAAAAAAAAAATCCTGGAGGAGTTCAAGGAGAAACAGCACAACTTAACCCAAACACTGGAGAGCTATTCCAACACTACACTCAGTTCTCAGATAAGCATAAATAATGTTATCACAGCAACAACCAGCAAGGCTGTACTTCCTCTTATTCAGCTCATGCCTTGCTCCTCTCTTCATCTTCTTCTTCTTCTACGCCTGACATTTCAGGAAATAAAGACGCTATTTTCAATCGAATCACACATCTTGAAGGAAGAAATACAACCAGGTGGCGAGTCAACAGAGCACGTCCCCTTAAAAATTCCATCCAAACCAACGCATCTTATAGCCGAAAGTATCTCAAGGAAACCTCGAAGCAGGACGGTCGCTAACTCACCTTTTAAATTCTTGGGGTTGTTCTGCTTGGTGCGCGGCATCTTTCCGCCTCAGTTCACAGGTGCATCTTGAGGGGTGGGGGGGGGGAGTGGCTGTTAACCTTGAGGTGAGTCGACTCCTGAGCAGTCTTGGCACATCTAGAGGGGAATAAACAAACACACACATATACTGTGAATACATCAAGTCTGCAGAGGCCAAACATGAGCTCCACAGATCAATGAGGCACTGTGCAGCCTCTCCTGCTCCCACTTGGCAGCTGTCTGGGAGTCCAGGACAGAGCGGCTGATTGAGCGTGCTCCTCAAACAGGTGCCCGGGTCGGAGTTTTTCCCCCATTTCAGGGCCGCCTTGAAACTACGTGCAGCGCTGCGCGGTGAGGCTCGGCCTGCTCTCTGCCGTCAGAGGGGAGGAGGTGTGAAGACATTCTGTCGATATCAACATAACCCTGCAGCGGCTGCTATCTGCCGCTCTGATCTTGAGGCTGACACAGAAATGATAGAGTTACTGCTCATCACTTTAACGAACGTCAGCGTGGATCTCAAATCATGCAAACTATACAACCCCCCCCCCCCCCCCTCCCCTCTGAGCGTCAGGCAAAGAAGTGTCAGAGATCTTTCTGTCAAAGTTCAGTCTTGCAGGTCTGCATCCTCCATCGATTGTTTTCGCACTGATATCAATCGATGACCTTTCCCTAAATGGAAGATTAGAAGCTTATTATGGCTGCAATGCAAATTCCAGCTGACAGAAAAAGGTTGGTGTTCAAGTTAAATGTTACCCAGATGTCAAACCCACAGAGCTACCTGACATGCCACAAGCAACCGCAGAGCAAACGCTCCCCCTCTGCGCAGACAGGAAATCACTAAAAATCATGAATAAAACCTCTCATTTAATGGCACCATTAGCCTTCCTTTGCCCTTGCATCATCTCCACCCCAAAACACCCCCCTTACCCCTGCAGGAGACGTGCATGTTGCAGTGAGCAGCAGTGCTTCAGGAATCAAGTCTTTTGTTTCTTCCCCCCTCCTCTCTTCCTCACCAATGTTACATAACACTTACTACAACTGGAGGATGATGATGATGATGATGGTGATATTTTGTCTCCATACAGTTGGTACATGTGGCGCTAGAGCAATGACATCATCTCACGGTACTCACACTCGCTGCAGCAGGTCGCACAAAAACACATGCAAGCTCGGCTTCAGTAGACGCATGAAGAGGGGCTCCTCGCCGGGTGGTGTTTGAGCGCAGGGGTCGACGGCGCGGACGAGCTAGGGGAGCAGGAGGAGAGAGACGTTTCGTCTGTCTGTCAGTCCGTCTGCCAGCCAGCCTGACTGCTTGCCTGTGTGTTTGTGCGCGCACAGATATGCGAGGAAACACCCCGATACTAACACGAGAGAGAGAGAACGAGAGCGAGGGAGAACAACATACAATGCTGCGTCCCGTTCAGGTGACCAAAGAGTGATGATTTCACACCTGAGGGGCGAAATGCAACAGCAGCCCCCACTGGCTCTGAGTGCGTTAATCACAAGACTGAGAAATATTAAGCATTAGATGCAGAGCGGGCTGCAGGAGCATGTGTGCTCCGGGTTCATGCAGTGCAGTCATTAGAAGCAGAGCTAAAAAGAAAAAAGGGCATTACTGGCATTTAACTGTGTGCAATGAAGTCAGCAAAAACAATGCGTGGGAATAGCGTATTTTGTGCCTGTTGCAACACGTGAACGCCCTGTGAGGGAGGGCGGAGCCAGGGAAAACCCCTCGCTTGTCGCTGCAACAGCGCTCGAATGGGACGCTTCCCTTTATCCAACAAAATGCAGTCAGATTCCAGTTCAGCCACACACACAAATACACACGTTTGTCACGGCAACAGCGGACACACAAACACACTGAGGAGCAGCAGGTGTAGCTGCTTGGCTTACCTCCAAGTGCAACAGCGGGCACTGCGCAGAGAGGCGACCCCGGCAAGCGCAAGTTTTTTTTTCTTTTTTTCTGTGCTGCAGGGTCCAAAAACAACACTGCGCAAAAAACAAATAATAAAATAAATGCACAAACAGACTCACACCTCTCCTCTCTCAGTAACAGACCCCCCTTCCTCCTGCTCCTCCTCCCCCTCCTTCTCCCCCCACTCAAAGTTAGCGACGGGCTAAAACCGGGCAACACACACACAGCTATAAAAGCATGTCGGACTGTCTCCGGCTGCAGCAGCCGAGCTCGACCTTTAGCAGCCGCAAACGCGCGCGGGGGAGCAAAGAGAGCGCGCGGGACGCGGTGATACTCACAGGTGCGGGTTTGGCTCGTGTCAGGGCCGCAGCACACCTTTTAGAGTAAGAAGGGGATCCGCTGTTTTTTCTCCCTTCACCTTCTCTCTCACTTTCTATTGCAGGAAACGGACAGGCCTACTGACGTCAGCGGGGGTCCCGTCTCCGCCTCCCAGCCACGAGGGGTGTCCTCCCAGGCCAGCGGGGGGCTCCCGACGGCCGCCACGTTAGCGCAGGCCCCGACGCCTCCTCGTCGATGCCCCTTCAGTGAGCCGCACCTCCTCCTCTTCCTCCCTGTGCTCGCTCCCTCCACGTCTGCAGGTGAGGCGCCGCATTCCGCGTCGCTTGTTGCAACCCCCCTGCCGGACCCCCACTCAGCCTCTCCTCTGCACATAGCTCAGGACTGACGGTTTTCCCGGAGGTTCCTTGTTGTCAGGTCACGTTGTGCCCCTCCGCCACTACCGGCCGGGCTTCCCCGTGCACGGATCCAGCTGCACGGACGTGAACAGGGGGGTGGGAGGACTTCGTGCACCAGGACCGCTGTCCGTGGCGGTAAACAAAGGAGAGGGATAAACCGTGGTCTGCACGGGTGCCGAACAGCCTCTGAAATGCATACAGTTCAAAATGACTCACCGAGAAGGCCTATTTTATGGGATTTCTTCCTCCACTAACATATAAAGCCACAAACACCAGTGAAAGTGTGGATATTCAGGTGCCTTTGGGTTCCCAGTTACAAACCAAGTGATTTTGTTACCTCATATGGGTTTAATTCCTAGACTGGGAATCTCCATCTGAAACCTAAATCAGATTTGAAACTGTGGGAGATCGGGTTTCAGCCTGTTATGTAATTTAAACCATAAAAAAATTGATTAAATATTTTCCACAAGCCTCAAAAAGATAGAAAATCTGGAAAAATCTTTTCCTACGTATAATTTAAATATATAGTGACTCGTTTTCTGCAAGCTTTATTTGTTATTGCATGCTCTGTACAATTTTTTATCAGTTACAGATGCTTAAAATTTTAAATTTAAAAAATATATATATTTTTTAAAATTTTTTTAGTATTTTTCTTATTTGTTTTGCAGATGGGTCTCAATTATTTGTGTCGATAATGTAAAACATCTAAAAAATATTATATATTTACATATTTATGTATCTGTATTTTGTATTCAGTGTTCGTTTTTGTGCTTGATCTCCTGACGAATACAAATAATAAAGAAAATAGTCCTATACTAATACTCCAGGGCAGAAATATATTTTTAGGACTGATTTTGATTTCGTATTGTTATTATAAAACTATTAAAGGGTTTCATTAAAGGCCCCTTTTCTGCAGCACAAATACAATGACATTGCTGTACAAAAATTAAAACAACATTGTGTAAAAACAGGAAGCGTGCTGCTGCTGCACTTGAGTGAGTAAAATGTTAAATGTGATTTGAATCAGTGGTTTCAGGTGTGTCCTTCCTTCAGTTAGTGTTCATATGTCTGTTTGAAATATGAACATGTCTCTCCAGATATGTACTCTAAGTCTGTAGCTGTAGCATCGAAGGGGCCAGTAAGAGTTTTACTGGCCCTTGTTATATGTGACTTATGATTTCCTCCACAGTAACCTAAAAAAGCACCACAGTTCTCCTGAGCTGACAGGGAAAAGTTTGATAAACAATTCATCTCTGCTGGGAGGTTTTCATCTGTTCAATATTCAGGGTTTAATTGATTGTTTGCTGTTTTTATGTGATTGCTTGTGGGTTTTCAAGCATAACAAACCAATTAATGCGGTAATGTCTACGTATCATAATTTGTGACACCGCTTTTCTTTTTTGGATTGATGCGTTCCCTCTAGAAAGTCTCGATAACATGCGTACTACAGACACGATATATATTCAGTTCAGACACTAAAGTTTCAGATTATAGTTCATAAAGCAATTCTTTTGGATTAATTACCCAACATTATCCACTCAAAACTGTATTTAGAAATTTGAGCTAGCCGGCAGTTCGTCAGCAGGAAAGCTAACAGGTGGGCTAGCATTAGCTAACATTAGCTTAAAGAAAAACAAGGTTGGATTTGATCCTGAAAACTAAACACTCCCTCCATTAAACCCTCGCTGATGTAGAATGTAGTTCTCTCTAATAAGAAGCTTGGAAAGCACTGGACTTCTTTACATTTCGTGAAGGCGTTTCACCACTAATTGAGTAGATAATATTTAGGCTGGATGGCTTAGCTATATCAAAGTCGGAAATTCCTTTGTTACAGGAGTTAAAAATTCAATTCAACAAAGCAAATGTACTTTATTAGCAAGGGGTCACCATAGCTGATGGATTCACATATCTGATTTTACACAGGAAGCCCCTCCTGACATAGTCCTCCCATTTGTCCAGGCTTTAAGACAAGCATTAGGAGTAAACCAGGAGAGTTTATATCTCTCAGTCTTAAATTGGGAATTTTTGCAAGTTAGCCGAATATGTTAACCATTACACCATATAGCTTAAATAATGCATACATGTGTTTTTTTAAACAGATTTTCTGCCTTTTTTGTTTAATTGCTAATTACATTAAACACTCAAAAATGATGTTGAGCACAGTAAAGAACATGCCAAAGCAACACTGTATAGAAGTGTTGGTCAATTAGAAGCCCACAAATAATACTGACACACACTACAACAAAATAATAATAAATCAAAAAGGTGCACACAAAATCAAGTTTCTAATAATCTTCACCCTCGAAGGAGTTTTAAGAAGAATAATTTTTGGTCACCAAATAATATTTACCAAATTATCGATGTATATGTGAACAGGGCTTAAGCAGTATATGTACAGTACTGTATTTTCACCAGGAAAATGAGAACTAGGTTTAGCTATTTAATTTAATGTACAAACATCAATGGAAATGCACTATAAAAGGCAAAAACAGAGTTTGTATAATCCTAATGAGCTTGAAAGTCCATATTTGGTATGACCTCCTTCACTCTCCAACACAGCCTGAACCTCTTAGTTAAGCTTCCTTGTCATTTCTTTAAGTAGTCTTCAGGAAAAGTGCTCCAGGCTTCTTGAAGCTAATTCAAAGCTCTTCTCTGAATCTTGTCTGCCTTTTGTTCTGTTTTCTGTCAAAATGACTCCACAGTGCTTCAGTACTGGTGAGATGCGGGCTGGCCAATCCACGACTGATAGTGTTTCGTTGTATGTTTTTCTATCCAGGTATGCTTTTACTCTACTGGCACTGTGTTTGGGCTCACTGTCGTGCTGTAAAATGAAGTTACTGCCTAATATAACACAAAGAAATCAGACTTTTGCACAGTACTGGAAGCGTACATTTAAATTAAAAAAAACTATAACAAATTAAAATATTTCAAAACTTTTCCACACCTGCCTGACAGAAAATCTCCAGCATTTTGTTGCATATTTTTAAACATCTCAGCTTCCTCAGGAGATAGCGCCTGCTCACCCACCTGTTGTATAAAGGCTGTTTGTATCTTCCAGTTCTGCCAGCCTGTTGTCAATGCGCACACCCCATCACCACATCAACATCCTGTGTTTTTGGCCACCCATTTCCTTCTAGAGCTGAACTTTTGTTTAACCCTATCACGGGGGAAGAACTACCCAAATACATATTGTTTTTTATTTTCTCGTCCTCAACATGAGCTCGTTGGACCTCACTTGGAATTGTTCACTAGGCGTCACATTCCTTGCATAAAATTCAACCCATGTCCGTCGCATAGAAATCAGTCCACCAGCTAATGAAGGCAACCAAGAGGTTTAAGGAATATCTCTCCTTTTTTAAACAAATTCATATACATTGGCAATAAACTGCATTATTAAAAAGAAGATGAAAAAAATATTCTTACCATAAATATTTTTTGTTGATTTTTGAGTTAAATTCCTCACTAAATGTAGTTAATGAACAATAACAGCTCATGTGACCTAATGAGACCGAACCTGACAGGAACGGTAAGTTAAACTACTGTCTTTGTGTTTGTTTAACAGAAATAATACAAAACGTATAAATCTCTCTCTACAGTGTCAAATGTGCTATGTCTTACATGACCTTTGTGATTCCACACTCTCTTTTACACACAGCTTTTAACTCACATTTTCCACTGCAGCTTCATCTTTGCGAGCCATTTAGGTGACGAGAAACCTGCAAGCATGGAGGGAAATTTTACTTCTTGCTCAGTTTCCTTTAATAAGCATGAAACAATAATGCTACATGTTCTCACAGCCCACTCAGGCACACACACAGAGGTCTGTGGAGCAACACAAACCGTTAAAACGACTCTAATGATATATTTTATTATTATTTATTTAGGCTGTGGGTGTTTTAACGTGATCCGCAGCAGAACGCTCTGCAGCAGTTGCCTGGGTGCACTGGTGTTGTTATTTTTATCCCATGTCTGTATTCCTGGCTCCACAGTCACGGTGAGTGTGAGTT